ATTTTAATGTATGTTATGATATTGTGACAAAAAATGTAGTTTGAAACTAAATCGTATTTCGTTTTCAGAAAGCAGAGTTGCCGATGTATCTACGCATATTTTCCCTATTGAACTCGAAAGCTAATTTGGCCTTGGGTGTTGAGTGTTTTTTCTTCATTTATTAACCATAGATAAGCATGCATTGTAGGATAATGTAAGGGTTCGTACCCCTCAATGTTGAATAACATGATGTTGCATTTCTTTCTTATGTAGACATCTGAATTTGCGACAATTCTGAAATAAAAGAAAAAATATATACAATATTATAACACGTTCTTAATCTCTTCAGTGATATATATATGAGATAAGTTTGGTATATGTTGTGTTTACTGTTCTGTCTCTTTTAAAAGGATAACCTCTCTACTTAGAACAAATTAATGTGACTATGTTTACAGTAAAATGTATTTAATTGATTTATCCACCACATTCAGTCTCATTGATCGTCATATTTCTTCCGTTTCTTAAACTTTAAAGACCATCGTTGCTTACTTAGTGAGCCTCAGCAAAGATCGGATGAGTTGCTGCTTTATGTATTAAACCTCATTTCTTTTACGTTTATATTCTTTATATTAAAAGTTTATGTCATACTATGTAACACCCTTTCAGCATTGTATCTAAAAAGAAATACTGTTGAAACTGTGCATTATTTTAACGAATTGAAATTAATTATTAAGCATGCGTGTGTACGTTTTAAGTAATAATCCAGCACCAAAAATATGTATTGGACAAGTTTTGGATATGTGTAACTGAAAACATATTTCTTGTATTAAAAATAAAAACCTTTTTATTTGCAAAAATGGTAATAACATCGCGATGAAAGCTTAGATACCATTATTATATCAGATATGAACACCACTATAATGTTAAAATATTACATATATTGAATTTTTATTCACGAATAACAGATTGTATTGATTTACTTAAAACACTAAGGAAAACAAACGTTCTTCCTCAATCAATATATGTTTCAATATAGCTATTTTTTCCCATTTCCGTAATGGATGACTATGTCATGTTATCTTGAAAAGTGAGTATTACAATAAGATCACGTGACAGTAAACAAAACGTGATATTTATATGAGAAAGCAAACTTGTCTATATATTGTGACGTCAACATAAACGGGGAAAGTTGTATTGACCAGGTATTTCTATGTTCGGTAATGCGCTGTCAAAATCGTTTTTTATTACCTTTTTTACATTTACTATGCCATGCAATGGACATAGAGTGTTTCAAGGAAAATAAATCGAAGGATTGAGCTAGTTAGACGGCAATAACTTATTTATTCGATTTGTATGGTCTTTTAACTTTGGAAAGTGTATCCTGACCTCTTAATTATTACCATTTTTGCCTCAACTATAAGATATATCAAATATAATTTATTATCGCTACATAAATGACAAAGGCAAAAACATATTTAAAAACATTAAGAAAACAAACATTTTCGTATTAAAAACCTTTTATTTCTTTAGACTGTTGAATTTTAAACAACAGTTAAATCTCCTTTCAGTTCAATGTGCACAATGACAATGCATTATATTTAGTTTACACTGTTTCTTAATATATTCGGTTCAAACCCATCATTAAAATAACATTTTGTCTGTTACGTATCTAACACTAGTGTTGAGGCTGTGGTTTGTATCTTTTAGTTTGCTTTTCGTTATTTTTCTTATTTATGTTAAAACTGAAGTTTTCGCATGCCACGGAATATTGGAAAATTGGGATCTACACGTCTGTCATCATAATATACAGTTTGTCTTCTACAGGATGCATCCTAACGTGTGTCAATTATGACGCAAAACACTCACCTCCTTGGAAACACCGTGATTTGTTTCAAATTTATTATCGATTTTATTAGTATCATATAATATTGTGGTTTCATATGTTTTCTTACCTGATTTCATATTGTTTGCTCTTTGTGTTGACAGTAGGTCTCGAATGTGTGTTTTCGTGTCGAAAGCTCTCCAGATGTTCTGACAAAGCACCGATTTCCAACTTTGTATAATTTTACTCTCACGTATCGTTTGCAAAACCTGATCCTCTCCCCCGTCATGTTTAGCCATGCAGGCATTGATATATGGTTGGTATTGTATATCATTTCATTTGTGTTTAGCTTTTCCGTTATAAATATATTAGTCAATAATGAAAATTGCATTTATTAATGAAGAGTATTTACCAACTAGGACTAAATATACATCTATTTATTATTGATCATTATATGGTTATTCCTATGTAAAATGTTCTAACAAACGATGAATAAATTATCTCAGTTAAAATTGGGATCTACACGTCTGTCATCATAATATACAGTTTGTCTTCTACAGGATGCATCCTAACGCGTGTCAATTATGACGCAAAACACTTACCTCATTGGAAACACCGTGATTTGTTTCAAATTTATTATCGATTTTATTAGTATCATATAATATTGGGGTTTCAGATGTTTTCTTACCTGATTTCATATTGTTTGCTCTTTGTGTTGACAGTAGGTCTCGAATGTGTGTTTTCGTGTCGAAAGCTCTCCAGATGTTCTGACAAAGCACCGATTTCCAACTTTGTATAACTTTACTCTCACCTGATCCCCTCCCCCGTCATGTTTAGCCATGCAGGCATTGATATATTTAAAATCAATTTATTGATGTTATATAACAGAAACTGTAATATTATTGAATTATTATTTAATCCATACAAGGTCGTGATATATTAAAAGTTTCATTATTTCTGACAGGCAAGTGCTTATTTTTAAATTATATTTCATAACAAAGTTAATACATATTCAGGCAGAAAATATCAATCGTTTTAATATTTGATGTATATATATAAATAAACTAATAATATGAGAAACATGGATACCACAGTTACTGATGGAGAGACGAAGAGACAATAAATGAATATGTACATTCACATCAACACATTTTTAGCTGATATCATGTTTTATTCCTATCCCATAAATTTCTCCTGTGTGTCTTGCATCATTGTATGTGCTAGGTACCGTTGAAGCTTCTTTTTCTTTAGATAAACACAGGAAAATATAATTCCCTTAATAATTTCTTATCTGAGTTCGAGAAAACGTTTGACGTGTGACTTTGGTATTTTCTTGTAGGTTTTTCTGGTCACAGTTTTCTTAAAATATATGATAAATTCTAATAATATGTGAGTGAAAAACATAAAAGTTATATAATGATACAACACACCTCACTCATTCAATATTCCCTAGGTAAAGTCACCATCGAATTGTTTTCCACCTTAAAGTATTAGGATATCATCTCTGGGTGCGTTTCCTGTTTCCATTTTTATTTCATATAAACACATTGATAATTATCTTCACAAAGTCTCAATATTCAATATAAAAAGAACAACAATAAAAATATAATATAGAGGTTCATTTATTGATCTTTTGAGGTATGATAGTGTAGGCAAGTATTGGAAAGATATTCTTTGTATTGGACATATATGGGATATATATCAAAATATTCATTTTAACCTGATTGTAATATGCTAATTACAATTTGTACTGATACATTTCTTTAATTCAAGCTCAAAATAATAAATCAAACAATAGATATAGAGTCAAACTTCGTTTATGGCCAATGTATGTCTCCCGGAATAGGAATAAAAACTTTCTTTTAAAGTCATAGTACTGTAAAACTTGAAATACACACCAAATGTATAGTAGTGTATGACAGATATCGACAGATATTCGATGTGACTAAAATATGTTTAATTTTAACAACACCTTTGTATATACATTGTTTTAATCATTGACAACGACCTCGGCAAATGATTTTAGACTGTTGTTAATCTATAATATATTTAGATGTAGCAGCTCTAACAACTGGTTGATAAGTAATTAATTCAAAAGGAACATTATATCATAATTAATCAAATATCAAATATGTGATCATATTTAATTATGTATTTCTCATGTAGACATTTGTTTTACATCTAAATTACATTTAATAGCTGTTTTCATGTTCTCATATTGTCATAAACAAATGAATATAACTGAAAGTTAAAAATAGATAAATATGATTTCAGTCTTTAATTCCTATTTATATCAAAGCTTAATATAATGACATTATGCAATAATAATGATAAATTTTAAAAAATGCTTTATTTGTAACAATATAATTTATCTTACGATAAAACATACGTTTATGTAGAAAAAGTTTTATTGTTTTCTAGCAGTATATAATTAAATTAAATTAATTTCTTTTACGACTACAATTATTCTAATACAAAATGTTTGAAGTCTGTACTGAAAGTATATATCTTTATAAAATATTTCAATATTATTCATTAATTTGATTGGTGTTTACTGTACAAATTAAACACCCCCAATTTCAAATTCGGTTTGGGATTCATTGAAGGGGTATTTCTTACGAAATCAGTCGCAACAGATCAAACGTCATTAGGAACAAACGAAATTGGGAACGATAATGTCCTTAGTACAACAAATGGGTTCAACTTTAAACTCATTATAGAGAACCTCCATGAAAATAAGCATGAAGAGAGATTCGACTTGGTAATACGCAAAAGACATTAGTAAGAACATTATAAGGATATGAGATTGGAAATGGGTTCCCCTGCTTGCCGGTCTTACCTGTGTACCCCGTTTGATGAGCCATTTTATATCTATGCGTGCTACCTGAGGCACAGGTAGCGTTTCACAGGTGTGATAGTATCGCCCTATATCTACACTTTACGGATTTAGCCTGTCCGCAGATTCAATAGCTCGCTTTGTCATCCGAAATTGAACAACATTTATCATAATTATCCTCTGTCGATTGCACTCAATGAGCCATCACTACGATCTATGTCAATACACCAATCAGAATAAAGGGCTGTCAAGTGGCACAATGAGAGGAGGCGGGGCTTAAGTGCTCCATCAGACGTTCGACCAACCAGGGCTAGGGACTTAATTGAAAGTATGTCTTCTCTTCACACTTGGGTGTTTGGAAATGTCACGGATGACAGCCAGAACCTTATAGGGGAGATGTATTGCGTACACCACACTTTAAACTATGATACGGGTCGAGCTTGTCCATAGGGAATGTTTATATTGAGTATAATATACGTATCGTATGAACATTATCTACAAGTCTAATGTGTATACAACAAATACTACACAGACACATGCGAAACCTGAATGCTGAGTTAGACGTTAAAAGACCACAAGCGTAATCATGATGATGTTGGACAGTATATTCCACGGGCAGGGCAGATGATGTTGGACAGTATATTCCACGGGCAGGACATATGATGTTCAAGTTCAAATGACAAGACGAATTCCTAGTGGATGGAGTTAAGATCATGTGACATTTTAAATCAATTTTCTTAATAATTAATTCTTAGTTACTCATTTGCTACGAAGTATATGTTTATTTGACGGAATAAACATCTGACGAGTTCTAAGGTCACCCAATAAACATGCATCGACCAAACGTTGGTGGGTCTTTTTCAATCGAGTCTCTAATGGCACCCACAACGAATCCCCGATTTGGGCCAATGATGTGCAATGGTTACGTATTTATGCCTCCAACGGGACTTCCTCAGACACCAATGTCACCAAGCATGTTATCTCCGGACTCGATGGCCTACCAAATGCAGTCTTATGCGCAGAGTCAATTTATTCGTGGACAGATTGCCGCAGCAAATAGTGCATCGTTCAGAAATCATTTGCATCTCTCTGGATTAGCGGCTATGCTTCCGTATTCAGGAGCGAAATCTTTGGACTCCAAATTAACTCCAATTCCTGGTGACATCAGTTTGGATTCGCACGTGCAGAGTCGGTCCCCTGAGACCTCTGGGTCCGAATCTCCCGACACTAGTCCTGTCCCACGGATGTTCCAGGAAGAGGCCGCCGGCAGATGTCCACCATATTTCCCAGGTATATTTCCCTATCCAATGTCTCAATACCAAGCAATTTAGATGCAAATGATTTTGTGGTGATCTTAATTGTCCTCCAAAGTTTCCTTTGTGCATGGGCAAACACTCGAGGAAGCCGTTCCCGTCGTCTTCACGTGGACAATAGGAATAATCTCAATTAGCATTGAGGATTGTCCATTTTGCATATGGACGATAAATTGAGTTTTATTTGAATCTCCCTAAGACGCTTTATGTTTGTCACACAAGCACTGATTAGTCGATGGGGGGGGGGGGGGGGGGAGGAGAAAACCATTAGTTTGAATGATTTATTCACATTATACTGCTACAGTGTATTGGATTTAATAATTGAAAACAATACTGAAAAATGATAGAGTATTGCCAAATTTAATGTCATAAAATTCAAAAAGAAAGAAACAGAACATGACATTGTAACAGCATACCCTTTGATCAAATATTCTTACAGGTATTTAATAACTTTAAAATGTTTTTGTTTATCATTTTGTTCTTGAATTTTGAAAAACAAAATGGAACTTGGTAATACACTGATACTCAATCACTTACGATATTTACAAAAGCATTTATAACGATCATTGTCTCATTTGAAGGAAGTAGTATATTTCTACTGTTTTAAAAGAATAAATATTGATACAGCTATCTTAAGATTAACAACTGTAAAACTGTGTTGACGTAAGCGTAAATTTCTCAGCTTAAAAGTAGTACATATATATACATGAATTACCAATATTTGCATACTAATAGCAAAATGTAATACACACTCCCTTATTTGCTCTTTAGATTAACAACTGTAAAACTGTGTTGAAATATGCGTCAATTTCTCGTGATATCATACTCCAACAGAAGTGTACATATATACACGAAGTACCAATATTTGCATACTTATGTCAAAATGTAATGCACACTCCCTTATTTGCTGTTTTATTACTCTATGACTTAAAAGTATGTCCGTTACAATTCGCTGTATGTTCTCTCTTTAAATAGTTATTAATTTTCTCGAATCAATTCATGATTCATCCTGGAGTAATGACAGGGTGTCACCTTTCAGATATATGATTTATCATACAAAATGAAGTACATATCTGTTACAGTTAATTATCAAGCCTTAGGTATTGACTGAACATCGATACAGTAAATTAAACCAGCCTGGCAAATGATCACATGATAAAAAGTCTTTTAATCAGTAACATTTTTGTACAATTTCAATCATTTTATTTCAAAGAGGTTTCTGCGAATAACGGCGAACATAGTTTGAGTACGATTATTAGTTACAAAAATATTAAATTGAATCTAATATTTGACAAAAATTGTTCCTTCTCTCAAACACTTTTATGCTGTTAAACTAGATAGAGTTAAATCAGAATAACTTCTCCACGACACGTAATTAACAAAAACACTAATTGCATTAATTATGAGTATTTATTTGTAAATATAGAGGATACCTAAACAAGCAGTATTTTGCTATTTTCGGTGAAATTAAAAATGATAGCTTGAAGGATTAAAACGTACATTTTTTATTCATATTGCATTCAGTTCTCTGGATTGAAACGTAGTTTCGGAGAAAGTGATGATGTTTCGCCTGTGGAGTATTTCATAAACACTGAAATAGTTGGTTATAATATAAACAAAGACTATTTGCATTAATCCTACCCCCGTACGGACTCCAGAAACCAAGAACTCGACCATTCGCGTAATGACCATCTGTCAAAGCATTGATTGAATTCAAATGTTACGAAAACAACTCACCAACCGTTGTCAATAGTTTTTAAACACAATCTCCGTGACAGTCTGTGATTATGGAAGAACCAAGACACATGAGTTTGAATATTAGAATGTATGGTTCAGACGTTGTTAGGAAAATACCTTAATTATAACATCAACAGACGAGATAAAGCGAGCTAACTGGATTTTAGATTGTACTGATTAAGAAGGGTGTCGACATAATAGAAAATATTTTGAATGAAATGCATTTATAACAGCGTTACTATTCACATTAAAATTTTGAAATGTAATAACAACATATAGAATACTATAGGATAGTATTGAGCTGTGCTGGTCTATACAAGTAACGAAACACCTGAAAACAAGATAATTGATTTGATTTAAATGGGATTGAATTTCGAATATTTGGAGTGTAAGCGTCGTTTAAATTACCTGTAAGATTCATGTTGTTTAATCATGTATATATAATTGTTCAGTACATGATTATGCCCATTTAAGTTAGTCACTGCCAATCAAATAAAGATATTACGAATATAGATATATATAGCGATGTCTGTAAAACACTTAAGTTTCATTTGTAACTTCTTGTTTCCCGTCAGATTTTAATTACCGGTAAGACCATGTTATTAAACACAAGATACGACGTTAATCGAAACATGGAAATCTGATTGTCATAATCAGTTTTCGACGTTGTAAAATTAAATCAGTAAGTAAATAGTTGTCAGAATATAGGGATAAAAACAATTAACTTAATAAATATGAATGATATAACAGAGTGCATCTGTGACACGGAATGTGTGTACATTACAAAAGAAAACATTTCTAGCCGTCGTGGTTTGTGTATTGTTTTATTTATTAAACACACTACATCGCTTGCCTACACGATATTCCAAACTATTTAGAATTTGTATGCAAATATTAATTGAATATTTTGATAACTTAAAAAAATTGCAATCGTCAAGTGGACTCGGTTTTTCCGTATTAAGTAAGCTTTATTTAATTGTTATATAAAATATACAGTAAATATAATTAACGGAATACATTAATATGACGGACGAATATAAGTGCTACTTGACACCACAGCCTAACATGGTATAATCAATAACAATATAATATAATTAACAGCAAACCACATTCATAATGATATCATATAATGAAACAAATTGAAGGGTAACATACTACTTGTCATAACAGTGCTACAACACACAAGTGTTGAGCGAACAAATATCAGATCAGATTCATTTCTAACGGGAGGGGAGGCGTCTAAACATGGTGTCCGTTTCGATGTTAAACTAATTTTGGGCCAACATTCTCCCCCGTTGAACGGGACCAGTGAACCCAATGATAATGAGTATCACTTTCACAATAGCTTCCACCGATAGCATCATTCTTTAATTTCTATACACGATTCGGCTGTATTGATAATGTATTATATCATTTTAATTCAAACGGGTAATACCATCCAAGGTTCCTTGGCTATGGAAGGGGCCCCGTGTCGTCCGTCACGAGACGGATCTCACTATATAAATAGACCTGAAGGCGTTTAGAAATTAGAAACAGATTCATCAAAAGAACAATTATTGTTCAATTATGGGATGGGATGAGCCGGTTGAAATGATCATCTTGAGATGCTTTCACCATGTAGAGTGTCTTTGTGCCCACACGACGGACACACGGAAAGGATGGTGTGGTTTTAACGAGATTTCTACCGCAGAAATATATTCGTGAAAATTGGGGACATCGTCGTAATGGACATTTGAGTGATATCTGAGGATCTTTATTTAATTGTTGCCGTAATCTCGGGATTATATCAGTCCACGTTCTTCCGTTGTATTGTTCATTCCATGTAGATAAACCCCGGTCGTCCTGTACGGATAAAGCTGTCGTCTGCTCGTAGAATGTCGCTTCAGTGTTAAAGAGGAAGAGCGGTACGGAATAACGTTAATGCATGTATTTTCTATTATAGAGTTATTAGCTTACAAGACCAATCTTTAAGTTACGCGTAGAACAATTCAATCAATGTATCGATATTATTTTTTAGTATTTTTTTTCCTTTTATTTATTATATGCAAGTTAGTGTTTCATAAACTAATAGCTTTAAAATTTCATTAGGCCCTTGACCTCTGTTGAAAAATAAAGAAATATTTTTTTTCAAAATTGAATAAAAACGTTTAGCACCTATAAGTTTACTTACTGATTGCCTAACAAATATTATCTAATGAATAAACCAATATATAGATAACACATCAGAAAAAAATATTAAAAATGCACATATTGCATTTTAAAACAACAAAATTCTAGTAGATATTTCGTTTTCTTATCGAGATTCTTTTTGAAATACCAATTTGTCCAGATATGTTTGGATATTTATGCATAACATCATAATTTTATGTATTGGGGTAAATAGGCGATTTCAAATCTAAAGACAGACTCGAGGATATATTAAGTCGAAGGCAAAAAAAGGTTTCATATCTGACATTTGTTCACTGTTCTCCCTTTTCAGATCACTCCGCCGAGTCAAAGCACTATGACGTTTCACAACCGGAACCGGATACTGATACAGATGAAATGGACATTGTAGACGAAGAAACGGACGATGAGCGAACGGTACACACGGATACGGATTCTGCCCACAACAACACGGACTCGCTCGAAAGAACAAAAGACACTATAACTACAAGTGTGAAAATGCGACGACGGCGGACTGCATTCACAAGTGAACAATTGTTAGAATTGGAGAAGGAATTCCACAGTAAAAAATACCTCTCGCTCACAGAGAGGTCTCAAATCGCACACAATTTAAAACTTAGTGAAGTGCAGGTGAAAATTTGGTTCCAGAATCGCAGAGCGAAATGGAAGAGAGTGAAAGCTGGAATGATTCATGGTCGCACTCCAAATGAAATTTCCGGAAAACCGAAAATTATTGTTCCCATCCCTGTTCACGTTAACAGAATAGCGATCCGAAGTCAGCACCAACAGATTGAGAAAACAATACGACAGACACAATAACTGCATCGTATTGAGAAACAATAAATGTGGATTCTGATACAAATTGTAAATCAAAAACTTGGTGATCAGAAAAATACAAATACAAAATCCAATTATCTACAATAGTTCAAATACTTGTAAGGTGATTATGCGAAATACAAAATACATGATATAAAATTTTCATATTTTTTTTATCATTTCAATATAGTAACTGTCATTGGGGTACAATACACGTCACATTCAGTCAACAATAGTCAATCCGGAACAGCCTTCAGGCTACTGGTTTATATCATTTGATTTTTAAGAACGGATTTGATTATTTGAATTAATTTGAATAAATCAATCGTTAAATTCGATCGATTATGATGTAATTTTCGAGCAATTTACAGCTGCCGTGTCCAAAGGCTATCGATTTCATCTGGTAAATAAACCATTCTCTGGCGCTGGGTGTGATGTATATTGTATTACATTGAAGTTTAGTAATATTATATATATCTTAGGGTGGATTCCTGACAATAATTATAATTTTTTTCAAAAGCGATGGTTATCGATAGTGTTAAAATAATTATGAATACTAAATGCTCTGAAATTATCAGAAAAAAAGCAAAAAATGCAGTACAGACCCGTACCACTTTGTGCGAAGCGTTTCCGTTTAAGGTGGAACATCGAACGTGTAGATGTCTGCACATAGGGCGGGGTGCATTTTTTTCTTAGCTCCATAAATATCCATTACTTATTAAAAATGTTTTCTAACAAACATTTTAAACGAAATAATGTTTTCTAACATACATTTTGAACGAAATAATTGCCGTTATCAACCATCTGTGTTTGTTGAAACTTGCAGAAATACCGCTCAATAAATTGACAAAAAAAGCACAAAGAGAAAAAAAAATGTGTTTGCTGCTATTTTGATATGTTTGTACCTAAATGTAAAATAGGCTGGGCTCGTACGCTGGATTTGACTAATAAACTCTTCACTCTTAAACAGAAAATAAAATGCTTGATCTGAACGACAGGTACAAAACTGTTATTTTGTGAAAATCACTAATATCTTTCAGTTGATTGTAAAGATTTGAAGCTTTTTTTCTACGAAATTGAGAAAATGCTTGAATTTTCCACATAACCCATAAAAGCCATTGTGTAAACTAGACTAAGGGGATTTCGATACTTTCCCTTTAACAGGTGGGTGAGGACGAAATCGGGCATGTACAAACGACATGTAGTTTCACTGCTGGCTTTTGTTCGGCGAGAGGTTTACATCGCTTTTCTTCCAATCATCCTCCGTTTTATCTATAGAAAGTAGAATAGCTTCATGAACCGCCCCTAAACACAAGTCTATTGAATACAGAAACTATAAAATGCTATTTGAAGAGACAAAACGAACTATTCAAACTTCAAGGGACACGTTTTCGATATCCGCTGATGGTTTCCATAATGCACCGTGCAATGATGGTTAAGTGAGGTTTTCTCGTACATATAGTTTTACGTGTCACTTGCATGTGCAACATTGTGAATAGTGTTGATTGAAAACATTGACAAAGCAACTTTAAACAAAGTGGAAAACAATGAAAATCAATTTCATGAAGATGCAGAATAAAAACAACTTGATCAATGACGTAATAATATGTAAAAAGGTAAAAAGGAATAATTTATGTAAAAATAGTAAATACAAATTTTCATATTATTCTAATATCTTAAAAATGTCTTACAATACTCGGGGATGCTACTCGGAAGCCAGTGTTGAATTGAAGATAGACTTACCGGTGTTCAGAATATCTGTAATATATTTGTTAGTACTCGGAACATCTCTGATCTGGTGATAGATTCAGACTGTCGATATAATGGTACTCATTTATAAAGTCCTTTTTTCCTATATCCGTAGCGATTTTATTCTTGCCCGTTCGTCTTTTTGCCACGAAATTACAAAAAGACGACAAAATACACTCGGAAGGAAGAAAATAATACACGCTCATTATATATATATTAGCGACCTATAATTTTCATGTACTTTTTTGGGCGAAGAATATCGTTTTCCCGTTGTTTCGTCTTTTTCGTCCCAAAACACAGAAACCCACATTCGATAGCACAAGCAGCTGTGACTTTTTTGTTGACAATTTCGAATGGTTAAACATATATAAACAACATGGTACACAATAGCATATATATATATATATATATATATATACAAACAACATGGTACACAATAACATATATATATATATATATATATAAATAACATGGTACACAATAACATATAATATATATATATAAACAACAGGGTACACAATAACATATATATATATATAAACAACATGGTACACAATATCATATATATATATATAAACAACATGGTACACAATAATATATATATATATATATATAAACAACATGGTACACAATAACATATATATATATATAAACAGCATGGTACACAATAGCATATATATAAACAACATGGTACACAATAATATATATATATATATAAAAAGCATGGAACACAATAACATATATATATAAACAGCATGGTACACAATAGCATATATATATATAAACAACATGGTACACAATAGCATATATATATATATATAAACAACATGGTACACTATAACATATATATATATATTAACAGCATGGTACACAATAACATATATATATAAACAACATGATACACAATAACGTATATATATATATAAACAACATGGTACACTATAACATATATATATATATAAACATCATGGTACACAATAACATATATATATATATAAACAACATGATACACAATAACAACACTAAACTAATATCTTAAACCTTCGAAATCAACATAAATTGAAACATAATGCCCCCATGCCCCCATGCCCCCATGCCCCCATNAAAAAACAACAACCTGTATGTATATATAAAACACAAAGAGGTTTGGGGTGTATGTGTTTACAGTATTGATTTTATACTCACACAATATGTATTCATAAAACAAAAGTGACTGAAAGAAATCGGAAAGTCTTTTTTTTTTAAATAACTGTCTTAAAACTGTAAAAAAAAAAATCAATCTAAGGGGAAATCAATGACTTATTGAAGTTAATTTGAAGCTGGTGATCGAGGCAATCATTTGAAATACGAAGTACGCAACTAAACTTGTTTTTAAAAACAAATGGCATTTTTGATCGTGAAATAAATTTAACTTGCCGGTGCTTTCTGCCTCCTCCCTTTAAACAAAGGGGTTCTCAAGGGCCCTTGCCTATTTATCGGTGCAACACGTGTAATCATGGCCCCATCAGGTCGTTAAGACTTTATCTGTGTCTCCAAAGCTCCCCGGGCGCCCTAACAAGTCCAAACCCGGTAGGTCGAATACATTAGCTTCATTTCTTCACTAGAGTATATATAAAACCAGACGAGAGTAGAGAGATTACGTAACCTTGCTGTGGGAAAAACATATGTGCATGTGTTATATTGTAATGATTATGGATCGGCAATAGCCAAGACAAATTATAGCGATACATACGTAACTAGATAATAAATCAACCGATATTTTATGTATAAACTGTTCTTTCTACCTCCGACAGCAGAAACACTTTGTTTGTTTTAAAAAATGAAAACGAAGTAAAACTTTTTTCCCGGATGGTGGAGTACGTATACGTATTGTCGTAAAAAGGAACATTAACCATCCCATGACTACATTACATGAACCGCAAAGTTCACGTATTCATGAAGCAAAATGACAGGTAAACGGATATCCGGACGAACAGCTGATCCAAAGATACAGTAAATTAACGGTTAGTTGTGCTTGCTATCTCTGGCATCACAAACAAGGTATGGTTTGTATATTATAATAGAATAGGAGAGTATCACGTGAAAGTATAAGACACAGGGGCCCGACGCACGTACATGTTGTTCACATACATGCAAAGTGACAACGTTAACGACGGATACTTTATAAACTATGATTACGTGATCCAATGCGACTGGGCTATTGAGAATAATAATTACTTGCCAGTCAATGCAGAAATATGTATTTCATGTGTAAATTAGTTAGTGTTCATGCGATCAGTACACTAAAAATAAATGTACAAACTAAAAGACAGTGTTGCTAGCGCTTCACCAATTTAAGGGTTCATCATAAAAATAATATAATAATATGCAACATTTGATATAGCGCCCTATCTAGCTAACATAAGCCATTCTAAAGCGCTTTACAGTACATATATATATACAATTAGCACATACATTAATCAGAACAATTTTGAGGAATTCGCAGAAGCTGCCTAATCAGGCGCTAACTACTAGTCCTATGCCACCTGGCTAATATCTCCCCATGTGTGTATGCCTGCGTGTTTGCTGGTGATATGATCTGTTTGTAGTGGGACCGTGCTTCTAAAGACATCATTTATAGTGCCACTTCCATTGAATGTTACAGCACAAATACCGCAATATCCACCCGAGACCAATGTATACTCCACCTGCATGGGTTGTTGGAGTTGCAACATGCAACATATGAAATAATTATCATATACAAATATATAACATGGAACAAAAGAACAGTGCAGGGTACATGACGTCAAGGTTTGTAATAATTCGAAATACCCCGTAAAAACTACACACGCGTAACTCACCTCTACAAACACTTACCCGACCCTGAGTTCTGACAACTAGAAACCTACACACTCCGGTGAGGCTATACAGGTTAACATGTCATTAAACTCCTTTTGATAGATCATCTGGTATTCCTTGGTGTAAAAGGTACCACTGCCCCACTACCTGTTTAACGCGAAGATTTCCATTTCAAAGTTGCATTTTTTTCTTCTTTTACCCCTTAATTGTTACCTTGATGAGTTGTCACTTATATATAAAAATGAAGAAAATAAAAAAGACAAACGTGTTTTCCTGGACTAGAGTTAATTCCCTTATCAGGGTATTCATCTCTCATTTTGATGCTGTGTATCTATACTGTCTAGATAGCTATTGGTTAAGTCTACAATGGTGGTGTATTCGTCCCGAGATCCATTAGTGCACTAGGAAGTTCTTTCTTTCTTCTTTTTTTTTTTTTTTTTTTTTTTTTTTTTTTTTTTTTTTTTTTTTTTACTTCTTTCTTTCTTTAATTCCAAATACTTAAATATCCGCGAACCAAACTTCTGTAAAACACACCGCAATGTGATTGTTATAAAACAATCCTGTGAAA